TTATTACAATGCATTCATGTGATGACTTTCAAAGAGTAAAGCAAGCACCTGCTGAATAAAGTATGATTATATATTTTACGAAACGTTTTTTTTTCATATGGAATGCAGTTGGAGGTCAACCAATCACAGAGCTTGAGAACTAATCACGGGGTTTGTCAAACAGAGCACATGGTGCTGGGGATTCTGGGTAGTGTAGTGTCTTCTGCCATCCTTTACTCCGAAAAAATATTTGTTTCTCCGAATCGAAGGGGAAAAATACAAAAGCATTGCACACAATTTAAACCAATCAATGTTGTGTAATTAACAAGGATAATCTGGTGTTTTTTAGTCTAGTAGTGAGTAGTGCAGATATCACTGTAAAATCAATCGACAGTAAGGGGAATACTTACTTCCGGGTGTACAATTCTCCGTTATCCAATGGGAATGGACGCTCACATTGCCTTTAAGGCCAGCCGACACAAACGAATGCCGTGCTTCCATGAGCGTCAAATCCCGCCGCAGATGGGAATACATTGCAATCAGTTGAAAGCTATTTGCGTCCCTTTATGAAGCTGAAGGAGCCTAGGAGCGTCACAACTGCACGCCACGGGACCCTGACCAAACGTCGCACCTGGACGATTATGGAGTGAGAGTGTGTTGCATATTGCACTTTCTCTCAATACACTTTTTTTTTCTCTGTAAGTGTGTACACTGCATCTCCTTCGCTCTGTAACAGACATCCTACTGGGACTTGATTGCTGCTTAGCCTCTGCCTTAGTAATCCTCACAATATGAAATATCTGACACACACACACACACACACACACACACACACACACACACACACACACACAGAAATATACACACGCTGCCAAAACCCAAGAAAGCTTATTTTGTCCGATGCTGACCTCTAGTGGCCAACANGAACAGATGGCCTCGTCACACACACACACACACACACACACACACACACATGTGTGTGTGTGTGTGTGTGTGTGTGTGTGTGTGTGTGTGTGTGTGTGTGTGTGTGTGTGTGTGTGTGTGTGTGTGTGTGTGTGACGAGGCCATCTGTTCCTGAAGGCATCGCTCTCTGAGAGACAGACAGATGCTGCTGACTGCAAACTTTCACTTCTCCTGACGCCCAAAAACAGTCTCAAAAACAGTTTGAGACAAGAGGCCAGAGGCCTGTACTACGAAGCCGGATTTTCCCTTAGCGGCTAACTTCAGGGTAAACTCTGGGTTTCCGGTCCTACGACGCTGGTTCACTTTTTAGCGGGCTAGATCTCCATGGTAACTTATCGTGTCTTAGACGGGGCAGTGATATCATAAACCTGCTAATGTACGCATTCAAACACTTGTTCTGTTACCAGCTGTATTCACCTTGCAGGTGCAGCTATGTGGCTTTGATCCTGGATAAAGTGTTTAAGTCATGGATGTTTAAAGTTTGTCTAATATTAAAGTTTACTTTTCATTCAGGAAGTATGACGCTGCGCTGTAATGTTTTAGATTAGGTCAGTCGGGTAACTCAAACATATCCAGGTTAGGTTGAACCGGCTTCGTAGACACAATGAAGAAGAAGAACAGGAACCATATCTGATGGAAAGCCGGGCTGTTTGGTTACATATTCTGATATTTGTCCTGGTTGATGTTGCTAATGTACTATTATTATCAGAGCTGGGAAGTAGTGAAGTACAAATACTTTGTTACTGTACTTACACATTCATTAGCTAACAATGACATTATTGTTCTATTAATATAAAGGGAGGTCAGGTACTCTTTAAAACAGCTGCTAGTTATGGGTACTTTTTACTGAAGTACATTTCAAAGCCTCTTTACTTTGACTTGAGTAAAGAAGTTTAGTCAGTTCTTCTACTTTCACCAGAGTATTTTTAAACACGAGTATCTGTACTTCTGCTTGAGTAAAGGATGTGTGTACTTTAACATCTCTGGTTATTATGTATAATTAAAGTATCGTTGTGCCGTTGGTCCTCGACTCACCATGTCCACCAGCGCCACGTACAGGAAGAGTCCGGCTGTGAGGGCGAAGACCCACATGGACACGTTCTCCGCGTAATGTCCGATCAATATACCGATCACCACGCCCAGGTACGCCATCAAGGCCGACAGCCCGTTGTAGAGAATGGCCTGACGCACCGTCATTCCCGCCTTCAGCAGCACCGCAAAGTCCCCTGGGAAACGTAGTCAACAGTTAAAGTACAGACGAGGGACGAGAATCACATCCATGGATTATTTACTTCAAACGTGTAAAACAATAATACAAAAAATAATAATGAAACAAGACAATTAAATAATACTGAATTACAAATGATATATAAACAAATGATCGACCTGCTTAAGCATCCGGAAAGTTGTGGGAAGAAGTTTAAACTAATTGAATCCCACCCCCTTCTCCCAAAAACTACATTATTAACTCTTGATATAAAAATGTATAAACGATAAAAACGTTCTCTGTTAAAATGCTTTAAAAAAAACCTTTGTTTCTACATGTGTTCAGGATTCATTCAATGTCAGATACATGTCCAGGAAACATGAGATCATGCAGGATGTGAAGGACGGAGCTCTTACCCAGCTCGTGAGGCAGCTCGTGGCAGAACACAGCCACGGAGGTGCTGAGGCCGCTGGACAGACCCTCCGTGAAGGCAGCGCCTGCAGAGACACGGGGTAACATCAATATAATATATACATCTATATAACATGTGTTTGTATATACATACACACACATATATATACTGTACATCTATATAATATACAGATCAACGCTACTGCACTGCTGATACCAGAGGAAAACCACCAAGTAGGGAAGCACAATTAATTACATTTTAAATCACTATTAAGGTTTTTAAACTTCCCCAATTAAATGCATTACACTTTAAAATGTACAATATCTGAGTACTTCTACTTTTACTCAAGTACAAGATCTGAGTACTTCTACTTTTACTCAAGTACAAGATCTGAGTACTTCTACTTTTACTAAGTACAAGATCTGAGTACTTCTACTTTTACAAAGTACAAGATCTGAGTACTTCTACTTTTACTACAAGTACAAGATCTGAGTACTTCTACTTTTACTCAAGTACAAGATCTGAGTACTTCTACTTTTACTCAAGTACAAGATCTGAGTACTTCTACTTTTACTCAAGTACAAGATCTGAGTACTTCTCCTCTGGCTGCAGGGAAACAAAATGTGATTGACAGATCCTTTGACCCCGCCCCCTCCCAACCGTCTCCAAAGTGATGTTGTAAACAAGTGTTTTGATTGGTCTATCCCCCTCTGCTTCCTGTGTGTAGGCCCCGCCCACAAAGGGGTGGGGCTAGCTGTCAGCGAGGAGTCACACTACAGAGAGACTCTTAATTCAGTTGTCAGGTAGAAAATATATGAAGGCAGTTTAACTTTGAGTTTTAACTTCTAGTGACCCATTTTTCCTGCAGTTTGGCTTTTCAGTGAAGAGGACTCTAAGGATTTTTATTGAGTTTTGGGGATTTAGATTTTTAGTGACCTTCAGTCAGTATGTTTTCCTGGGACGTAGGAAGCCTCGTTTGGATTTTCCTGCTTTTTATTTGACATCATTGGATTACTGGGAATTGATGATTGATTATTTTCCTCTGCTTGATGGACGGAGCAGTGGGTTTATTTTTCTACATTTCAGAAACTTCTTAGGAAGTTAAACATCATCCATTTTCTTTTGTTGGATTATTCCCGCTTACTTTAACGTTTACTTTGTCTCCTCACCTCGCCCGTTTCATGGATTATTTCCGATGTGGATTAACTGAATTGGGATTATTGTTCTTTTGTTATTTGGGATTTATGAATGCCTCGGCTTTGTGGATTAATCCTTTAAAGTTGTTTGAAGATTATGGATTATAACCTGGAAACAAAACAAATACATCAGCCTCTTTCTGATTGGTTCCCCTGCAGATAGGTTTGTGAAACACTGGTTTTTACTGATAATAGTTACAGGTGTTTTCTGTATCTCTCCTCTCTGACCTTTCATGCAGGTGTTTATTAATGTGATCAAACTAGAGAAATACTGAAGTGAGTTGCATGTAGAGTAGAGAGACTGAAAACAGCCTTATTGTTAAGGAAAAGTAAAAACATGTTGTCTTTTGTCTGTATCATATGTTTGGGCTGCAACAAGTGATTATTGATTAATCTATTGACCACACGAAAGCAGAACGTTATCGTATAAAAAAAAAAAGCTGCAGCTGGAAGATATTTAACCATTTGTTTATTTAATGTCTGAATTGTGTGCAATAGTTTTCTGTTGACCCCTCACTCAGTCAGGTCATTGGTAACTAGAGATGTTCCGATCACGTGATCGGGGATCGGAGCCGATCACGTGATTTTCAAAAGATCGGAATCGGGAGAAAAAAAAATCGGGGATCGTGATTTTTATTATTTTTTTTAAATACTTTTTTTTACATTTTGTATTCAATGTTACAAAACAAAAATGACCATGTTCAAGTCTTAAAGTCATCCTGAGGCCTTAGTTTTGGTTTCAAATGACAGAACATCATGTATGTGTTGCTTCTTTGGGGCTTGTTTTCATAGACCTGGTTATTTCTCTCAAATCTGGCAACAGAGTGGGCGCAGTGTCTAATTGTAGCAGTAAGCTAACGAGTACTGAT